CACACACACACACACACACACAAAGATCCTATCAGTATGCAGCACTGTCAGGTTGTGAGGATTTATTGCCTCAGACTCCTTGCCTGTAGTAACTATCTTATAACTCCCAGCCAGAGAAAAAATGTTCACAAACAAAAAACATCTAGGCTAGCTTGTATTGCTGCTTGGTTTTCAAAGATCATATTGAGTAAATGTTTTGATTCTGCATTGATTTGTTTCTTGCTGAGGGTGTGCACATCATTGGTGAGAGAGACAGACATGACGATATGTGAGTAGACAAGCAGTGGCAAAAAGATGAGTGTGTTTTTTATGCACTACCTTCAAGCTCTAATGCATACAAATGGGTTTTCATCTGCTCCATTTCGCACTGCTGGTAGGGAGCAGTGTGTGACAGTAAAAGAGCCCATTCTATTGACACAATGGGAGCTTCTCATTAGCTTTTCAGACTATCTATCATTAGGCAAAACCTAATAATTTCTCCGTGTGTCTACACATGATGGATTTTTTGTCAATGTGCTTGTGCATGCAGACATATGGAAAGCAAAGTGAAAGATATCTCATAATTTAGATTCTGATCTGTACAAGTAACTTACTAGAGAACTTTTAGGAGCTTCTGGATCAGGTGATATAACCACTGATCGATGTCAGTGCTGTTGATTATGAGTGCTTGATTAGGTTATAAAGTGGTAGGAACCAAATTGAGAAGAGATAAATCTAGTCACCAATTGTGACCCACTGTAGACATATTGGACACAGTTTTAGATTATAGCAGTGCCTGAGTCTCTGTGCAACTGTTTCACTTGGATTGATCTCTGTAGGCTTTGAGCCCTGCATCAATAATTATAACCAATGTGAGCTAAATGTCAAATTGTAATTGACTTCTAAAACTATATTCACATAACTTTAAACCTATATTTTTAGGACAAATCTTGTCTGCTGTTAGTCTAGATGTCTTTTCAACCCAAATGCCCTGTTCAATTCAGCTAGGTTCAACTTAATTCATATCACTTTGGTTAGGTTCGATTTAGTTCAGTTATTTCAGTTCAAATAAATTTTACTTATTTTAAGTAAATTTAGTTCAAATTCAGACTATTACATTTAAACCAGGTTAATTTGTTCAGGTTTAATTTAGTTCAATTTTATTTAGTACAGTTAAATTCAAATGTGTTTGGTTAAAATTTAGGTAAATTAGCAGTCAAGGCTGGGTTATAGCATGCTCAGGGGACTCTCGCAGGGCCTGTGGTGCACCCTCACCAGCAGTGTAGGTGTTTATGTGATGCTATATTGTGACGGCCCGAGTTCTCCCTCACTTTATTAAAGTAACTAAAACTCTCTATCCTCATTTCTAAAAAGAAAAAACATTAGTGTGTCTCTATGATCATACTAGTATGATTTTTAAAACCACTTTTGAAATAAAATTAACGTAATTAATGTCATCTCTGATTAGTAATATCAAGCGCCTGCATTCAGAGCAGCTGTATCATTTTAAAAGCGCCCGACCTTAATCATTTTCGTGTGCTCACCGTCTGACAAGGCAGAGTTCCACATAGCGCTGGTCCCAAGAAGCGTTTGTGAGTTCAATCAGACCCAAGAGTGAGAGAAAAAAGCAAACGAAGTGTACAAAAATCCTTCGTGTAAGCATCCTCACGGAGTAAGCGCCGAAAAAAAATAAAAAGTCCATTGTGGAAAAAGTATAAGGAGTGTTGCTGTTCCAGTAGTCATAAATGATGTCACCACAAGTCGAAGCAGCTTGATAGGTCGAATGCGCAATGACGATGTATGAGATCTCAAAATCAACATAACTGTTTCTAATCACACCCAGTCAAGAAACTTCAACCAACTCCTTCTTTTCTTGGTACCTTGTTCGTGGCTTCCATCATCTTTTTTCTGTGGAATACTTTGATTGCTGTGGAGCTAAAAATCAAGTTTTTGGAGCAAAAGACAAGTTTTGTGTGAAGACTAAAAGTTCATGGACTGAAACAAAAGACTGAACTATTGAATATTTGTATGGGCACTTGGGGGGTAACAAAAAAAGGAAAATAAATTTTGTTTGTTTATATTTGTATTATTTGTGTGAATAATATATTGAAAAAACTTCATTTCGCTGTAATCTATTTATTTCTTGGTTACATTTTTCATTTTTTGTCACTGAATTAGTTAAGGTTAAAAAGGGTGTGTAATTATTTTCTTTTAATAATTTACATGTCCTTGTGTGACTGGTTAAACTACAAAATAATTCTGAACCATTATAACTCAATCATTAAAACCACACACCATAATAAAATATCCTATAGGTCAGGAGGGAGACCTGGCTGGCACCCAACTTAACTACTCAAAATAAACAGCAATAAAATCAGCATAAAACCGGAACCGGCACATAAAATAACGGCACCCAACATGGGACATAG